AGAAAGGGGGAGGGGAGGGGATGGGAGGGGTAGGGTTGTTTTAGTCCTTTATACCTAACTCACTCTGAATCATATCGTCAGCGTCACTCAATAAACGCCAAAGTCATGTTTCTTTTCTTTGTTTTTTTCTTCAAGTTTTGAGAAAATTACAGGAAAACAGTTCGCCCAAATCACAACAACGACAAGAGCACTCGTTAATCTTCAGTTAAACACTAGAAAGCAAATAAGCACACAGAAAGAAAGTATACTATTTTAAGATTCCCCTTGAGGTCTTTATCTGAACATAGGCTTTATCTGAGAACCCCCAGGAATTGGTTCGGTCAATTATGGAAAGATGCTGACGATATTAGTGTCACAACATTGTGGAATCAGGCGCTTGTCAGTTTTTGAGGCATGTGGAGTAATTGATTTAATCTTAAAGCTCGTTTTGCCTTGCTTTTGATGAAAAAATACCCGTCTGTCTTGAATAAAAGTCGAGATATTTACGATTGTCTGGTGTTAGAGGTAACATTGATGAGAAAATGGCCTCCAAAGTTTGATGACTTCAAACGTCTGAGTGTCCTGGGAAAACTGTAAATTTACATTTTCTGCTCCTTTGATCAAGCTTCTTCAGAAGAAATCCCCATAGAAATTGTTTTTTGAATAGACATAAAATGTGTTGAGACAACCCCCCACCCCCCACAAAAACAACAAAAACTACAAGAACAACAAGAACAACAACAAGAACAAGAACAACAACAACAACAACAACAGCGACAACAACAACAATAAAAACCCTCAATATAAATTGCCCAAAGCGCGGAGAATGTCTGTTCTTCGATTGTATGATTTTGACGAGATCCTGATTTCACCACGGTGACACCACATATGGTCACTTTTAAGAACAAGCGGGCTAACCCAGATTTTGGGGGTTTCCAGAAATCTTGACCTACACCAAAAGTAGGCATTGCCCTACCTATAGGAGAAGTTGTCTCCTTGTCTTTTAAAGAAACTGAACAGGGTTCCAAAAACCTTAGCTTCGATTTTCTCATAACAGCACTTTTCGGAATTGCCCCCTTGTGCTTAAAAGCGACCTTTTATTACTGAGCTAGGACAGGCCACTGCGAGCGTCCACTGACCTTGAACTCCATGGAGATACGGATGTGGTTGGTGAAGAGCCTGTCCCGGCGCTGCTCGTACAGCTGGTAGGCCACCCACTCGTAACCACGGAACGTCATCGTCGTGGCGTCTGTGGAGACAGGGGAGGCAATGCGTAAATCTTAATCTACACAATAATAGCCATTTTGTGCTGGGGAAAAAAGTAAGAAATAGCCTCATTTGTTTGTTTGTTTGAGTACAGAGAAGAGCATCGACACAATAATGGCCATTTTGACAGTGAAAAGTAGTAATAACCTCTGAAATGTATTTATTTGTTTGCTTGTTTGTTTGAGTACGGAGAAACACATTGACATATTAACGGTCATTTTGTTCACGGAGAAAAAGCCCAAGAAAATTCCTTACGAATGTATCTTTGTTTGTTTGTGTGTTTGTTTGAGTAAAAAGAAGCACACCGACACAATAACGGCCATTTCGAACAGAGGAAAGAGCGAAAAAGACAGACAGAACCAAAGAGGGAAAGAAAAGAAATAGGACTTACCAGCGCGCCTTCCAACCACTCATTGAATGTACCCAGGTAACCACACAGAGATGTACTACTTTTACAGATAGCTTAACCTCGTACAGCTGCGTTTCCTTAGTTAAAAAGAAGAATCTTGTAGGCTCGATGTTTAGGTTTAGATTTAGTAAGAGTTTTACAGTAATTGCAACACAAATAGGTCATAATATAAGTGCCGAAGAGAGTAACATTTTTAAAAAAGAGGAGAAAGACGGGCGATAAAAGTTTGATTGGTAAGTAGGAGCAAATCCCACCAGAACACCTGCCAACCACCCACTAATATGGATGTGAAGGAGTAGAAGAGGCAGACGATATCAAGGATTTCAGGGCATGATAAAAAGAACAGTTGAAAGACTTCATTTTTCGTTTCTTTGACATATTTTTTTTCTCACCAGCATTAAGTTTCACAAACCAGCCAGTCGCTTGATCAAGATAGCAATGAAGAACAGTTAGATCTAGGAAGTTATAAAACCTTTTGTCACAAACTGCTGGAATGAGGAGACACAGAGAAACAGAAGGAGTGTGTGTGTGTGTGTGTGTGTGTGTGTGTGTGTGTGTGTGTGTGTGTGTTAGTGTGTGTGTGTGTGTGCGTGTGTATGTATGTGTGCGTGTGTATGTATGTATATGTGTGTGTGTGTGTGTGCGTGCGTGCGTGCATGT